TATTTTCCCTTCCTTTTCTGTCCTATTAAACTGTCTTTATCTCAACCCATGAATTTTACTTTTTTTTTCCTGATTCTCTGCCCCATCCCACTGGGGCGGGGAGTGAGCGAGCGACTGTGTGGTGTTTAGCTGCCTGCCAGGTTAAACCACAACAGTCCTTTTGGCACCCAACGTGGGCACAAAGTGTTCAGATAATGACAGATCTGACCAGAGCGTGTTAAGGCAAATTTGTTACAAGCATTCATTATATTGGTTTAATAGTCGCTGGTCACAATGTTGATTAATTTACCCTCAAAGTTGTCGTGCTTGTTCTCAAAGTTGTGTTATGTAACACCTTACTTGCTGTGTATGTTCCCTGTTGTGCTGTTTATCACCTCTGGGAGCTGGATTAAGGATACCATTTTGCTGCGGTGTGTAACACTGGTTTATGATATGATAAAATTATTGGTCATGAGACTAATCAGGTATTTGTACTCGGCATTGCTGTCATTCCCGTACCTTGGGAGCCACGTTTTGGAAACTATTAATAATTACACTCTTTACCTTTTCTCCTCAGGGAACCAATCTGTGGGGGAGACAGGGGGGACACTTTTCCCCACTCCTTTCCTTTCTCCTTCAAGGCTAGTTACAACGGCTCTTGAGAATTTTGAATATCCTTGGGACGTTCAAACCAGCATGTTCCTATTGCTATGTCTCCTGAATGCGGTTCAGGTCTTGTTTCAGGTTAAACAATTATTTAAGAATACCATCCAGAGATCTACCCCCACGACAGGCGCTGCGGCTACTCCAACCCCGGTGACAGGCACTGCAGCTGAACCAGAGAACCAACCCATGCCTGTATCGGTCACCGCCCAGTCCATGGCAAATGGTAGGGCTGCGTTTCCACCCCTGGGGCAGTCTACATACAGCTCCTGCTGCAATGATCTGGAGCTTGCCCAGAGCTGCAGGCTATGGTGCCTGTCTCACACCTTCTTCATGAGACAGGTATTAACTTACACTTGCCAGAGGGAACTCCTTCATAAAACCTGTCACTTGGCATTACCAGCCCACATGTTGGCCCAGCAACCACTGCCCAAAGCCTGGATCCCCTAAAGACATGAAAGGGCAGATCCTCCAGAGTGTCAGAGCATTTAGTGTTATCTGTGTTCATTATCTCAGAAAAAGATGGTCCTTCCCATGTTTGTCAGCTTCTCCTCAGACTTAATCTAACACTAAAGCTAAGTAAGACAAACCAAAGATTTCTTTCATGAAGACAAAAGATAAAGGTTTAATGATAAACCTCTTGTTTATAACAAAAGGTTCACACGGCTCAATAGCAGGACATCTTTCTCATACTTACTGTTTTATCTAGGAACACTTAGACTTGTCTCAGCCATTAGAGCTGGAGAAACAGTCCACACAGTAACTCCACCTTCTGCATCTGACTAGGGCAGCCCATTTCTTTTGATACAAAGAGGTTATTAAAAGTCTATCTAGCAGACTTGCATCTCTTTAAAACATTTTCTGGGTATTACATTTTTCTTCTCTCCCTGTACTGCTCATGAGGGGCATTGTTTGCATTTTAACTCTAACTCCTCCTTGCCCAAACGATACAATATACATATGCAATTCACCACCTACTGAAGCAGATAGCCTAGGAAAGATGTAGTACATCCATCACAGAGGTCTTTACAGATAAGTCAGACAAGTATCTGCTGTTCCTGACAGACAGTATTGATTGTGCTTTGGTCACAAGGATAGACTAGATAACCTTTGAATTATTTCAAGCCCCACAGCTGAATTAAGCAGTGGGAAAAACATTCATGTGACCAGCTATTCTAGTGACATTCGAGTCTTTGGGTTTAGAGCTTTCATAGACTTAACACAGAAAGCTTCGTCCAAACTGTCCCTTTCTGTTACAGTAAATTCGCACCCATCTAAGCCTTAACATAGTAGTTAGTTATTAGAGGACACCTGCCCTCAGCGTCACCTGTGATCTACCCACCTTGTTCCTGGCCTGTGCAGGTGTGCCAATGGGGAAGCCCAGCCGGAGAACCATGCAGGGAGCTTTGGAGATGATCCGCACCACATAAAATGAGGAAGGTGTGGGATCCTCAGAGCTAGAGAGGAGGGATTAAGACAGGGCTGAAATAGCACGGATCTTGCTGCTCTGTCATGTCAGGCCAAGTGGAGGCCTGCTCCGCAGAGCTCAACAGCCCACACAACTTGGCAGCAACACACATCAGTTCTAGCATGCAGAAACCCCCCAGCTGGCTTCCCTCTCCCTCTGGGCTGCGCCTGGAATGCAGTGGCAGCAGTTCAGAATATGCAGGGTTTTATACCCACTTGTCTTGCTCTTATTCTCTCCTCTAGACATCTGCTTCTAGCCCATCACAGCATCTTTTCCTAACTGGATCTTTGGTCTGGCCATATGCCTGATTCCCCACATGGGACTGCTTCAGAGCCACTCACCTGTGTATCAGTTTAACGTAGGAGTAGCCCTCCACCAGCACAAAGCTGCTCCAGTCCCGCAGCAGGGAGGTGAGCGCTGAGTGAGAGATACGGCACTGGATGGTGCTGTAACGGCCATTGTTGCCCGGTGTGTGCAGGTGCTTGGGCACAGGCCTGCAGGGTGTGACAGAAAGCCATTTTAGAACCACAGTTTCTCTTCTTCCCCCAAAGCCCAGAGAGACATTGCTACATCCATTCCAACTCATCCTCTGACTGTTACATCAGCCTTATTCCTCCACAGCAGCCAATACCCAAGCACCTCCCCTACCTGTGCCTGTTGGTGAGAGCCACACTCCCTGAGCGCACAGGGATCCTGCTCTCCACCTTGCAGAGAGCACACCCTTGTATCATTTCTATCTCACTCCATGCAATATCTGGCTATTATTCACATAACTCTGCAACTAGGACCAGCCTCCGGAAAACAATGCTTTTGGGGAAGATGTTTTCCAGCAGCAAACAGAAATATGTGGGATAGCTCCAACTGGATGGTGCACACCCCCTGCAATCAGGAAATCCAAACCCAAGAGGGACTTGAGAAACAATTTATGCTCCTGAGAACAGCCCCCGTCTTGACAAAGATGACTTCCCAACCCGCAGTCCCTCTCAGATAAATGAGCCTTCACCATCCACCAGGTCCCACTAGCGAGGCCCTTCCCTTGGCCACAGGCACCTGCAAGACAGCTGCAACTCTGCAACTGAACTGAACTGGATGCCCTGCTTTCCCAGGCTGGCCCACACTGTGCATGCAAGTTCAGCCCTGCCAGTTACATACGTGTCATGCTCCAGAAGGAGGACTATACGATGCATGTGCAGCCACCTCTGCCAGAAGTTGGCATCCATGGAAAGAATAGGCTTCCAGTAGGAGGCAAACTGGGAATGGCTTGAGTCAGACCCACTGTGCTGCAGGGATAGCACCTGAGAAAATGACAGGGCAATATTCAGGAAGAAACTGTCTGGTTCCACCCAGAGAGAGCAGGAATTTCTTTAGTGGCTGAGCTGTATAGGCCTAGAAGGCTAGCCACATCCCTGGCTTTCGGTAACTGCCTCTCAGCAGAATAACTAAGTGCGTTCACATTGAAACAGGCAGTACAATATAAGCAAAAATAAATTAGGTTCCTGAAATGTCAATTAGGAATTTAACTACTTAGCATCAAGTAAATCAACCGTGGAAAAGATGTCATATGTAACGGTGTGCTTTCTGATTGAGAGGGGGATATATGGCTTCTGTCAGCAGAGCAATTAAACACTGAGATAACTCATCTGAGAGTGCTCATGCACATAGGGTACCAGCAATGGGTGGCATTGGGCAATTCTAACATGTTTGTATGGTAACACTGTGATTCCACCAACTACAGCAACTCTGCTGACACAGCAATAAAGTGGTGGTCAGCCATAAGATGGGATGCTCCAGATATACTGTGGAATACATAACCCTACATAGCGAAGATTTACTAGGAAAATCTAAAGTAGTAAAGGGCTTAAGCAATAAAATTAAAGGGATAGTTGTCTTAAGTTAAAGCTCCCCAGCTTTGATATCTGCTAGTCGTCTTCTATCAATGCCAAGGACACTGCTAGCAGGGAACAGATAATATGCTAGCGCTTCTGCTCAGTGAGCTTCAAGGAGTTCGAATTTTGCAGTGGAAACTATTAGCTCATATTTTGTTTAGTTTCTGCTGCGCAGATGACAAGTATCTCTCTTGAACCTTCCACATGAGTGCTCAGAACAATGAGCCTATTAAACAACTATTCAGCACATCCTATATCTTCACCTGACAGTGCTGAGCTACATCACTAGGGCACAAGACTATTCAGCAGCAACTCCACACATATGAGGTATCCATTGAAAAAGCATGGCAAAAATAAGCGTCTCAACCTCCCCATCAGTCTCACACAACACATCACTACAGGACAAGGCTTCACAGCACACTTAGGAGACTTGCTGTGGGGCTCAGAGGTGTAGCTGTAGCAATAAAGACATAGGGTGATGTCTCAGAGGGGAGAAAGTATGGGATGGGACGTTAACAGGCACCGCATTGCACCTGAACTCGTTACTGAGCAGGACAAAGAGCAAGACATGAAGCCTGAGAGTTACAGAAGATCTTGATTGCCTGTTGGGACTCAGCATCCCCTGGTGCAAGACAGAATAGGCAGGAAGGACAACCTATCCCACATTAAATGGGAGAGAGAGGGAACATACCGGAGTGGTGGAGCCTGGGGGGATGTAGAAGAGGGGCACCCCGTTCTTGGTGCTCTCAGGAATGGTGAAGTGTTCTGGGACTGTGTCAAAAGACTGCAGATGAACCAACATCTGATCTGTCTGATTGATGCTGAAAGAGAAGAGGCAGTTAACCACAAAAGCCCACGCTCTCCCCCTTGCTGCCCCAGTCAGCCCAGTGCCTGCACACACAGCACTCCCTATGTATTGGGAGCCCATCTACACCGACATAGCTTTCTACGGCAATGCTGGGATTCAATGCCTGACTGCAAAGAGCACATTAAGGGAGTTCAAGTGTAACAGCCTAATATATAAGGAGGATGATCAGAGTTGGGAATGAAGTGCTAGAAAAGGAATCTGCCAAATAGCAGGGAGCAACGGTCAACCTGGCCAGGAAATCGTTATAACCCACAGGCCCATCAGGCCTAGAGACATGAGGTGTTGCTCCTAGTGTGACCATGCAGCACAGCTGCACATCACCTCCATGGGATGGCAGTCTGTGCTGGTTTTAGCTGTGATAGAGTTAATTTTCTTTATAGTAGCTAGTATGGAGCTGTGTTTTGGATTTGTGCTCAAAACAGTGTTGATAATACAGGGGTGTTTTCGTCACTGCTGAGCAGTGCTTACACAGAGTCAAGGCCTTTTCTGCCTCTAACCCCACCCCACCAGCGAGGAGGCTGGGGGTGCACAAGAAGGTGGGAGGGGACACAGCCAGGACACCTGACCCCAATTGACCAAAGGGATATTTCATGCCATATGACGTCATGCTCAGCATATAAAGCTGGGGGAAGAAGAAGGAAAGGGGGGACGTTCAGAGTGATGGCGTTTGTCTTCCCAAGTCACCGTTACGCGTGATGGAGCCCTGCTTTCCCGGAGATGGCTGAACACCTGCCTGCTGATGGGAAGTAGTGAATGAATTCCTCGTTTTGCTTTGCTTGCATGCGTGGCTTTTGCTTTACTGGTTAAACTGTCTTTATCTCAACCCACGAGTTTTCTCACTTTTGCTCTTCCAAGTCTCTCCCCCATCCCACCGGGAGGGGAGTGAGCGAGTGGCTGTGTGGTGCTTAGTTGCCGGCTGGGGTTAAACCACGACACAGTCAGAGTTAAGGTTTGCATCACAGGATCAGGACTCAGGGGCAGCAATATCTTCACCATGAAGCAATCTTAAAGACTAGGTCACAGGCCAGTCTGAGTCTTTTCCTTGGCTAGACAGCAAGCTTGTTGCCAGTCGTGCCTCTTCCTCAGAGCACATTCCTTTGGGACCCTGGGTTGGTATGGCCACCTGCATAACCCATGCCCCAGCATGCCAAGGAAGGAATTTCTTGGTTGTATCAGACACTGGAAACTGCTGGGGATGGTGCGGCTCACCTCTGCAAGGTGTTCCAGAAGCGCCGGATGACTGTAGTGCGGTACAGACTGGTGATAGGCTTCCTCATGGTGCAACTGATGTCATGCAAGATGTCATAGCTTCCTTCCATCGTCACCTCTACCCATGTGCTGCGCTTTGATGGGTCCAGGGGCCAGGGTGTCACAGCTAAGTACTCTATCCTCATGTTATGCTTCCAAAGCAGCACTAGTTTCACCTCCAGCTGAGACCCACCTGCATGGGAGCAGAGGAGTATGTTCAAGTGCCTGTTTCATACACATCTGAGCTTTATCTCTGACCAGGGACTCCAGAGTACTGTAAGGTTGTTCAATTGCTATGAGGAGGACAAAGTAATCTAACAACTGTTTGCTCTAGCTGAAGTCATTCTCTCTCCTCCCCAACAGAGGGAGGCTTTGCTTACACAGTAGCATTTGGTGAACAGTTCTTTAAATGTACATGTAGTATCTACACTAGAGAAGGCAACTGAAACTCGGAGGAGGTGCTGACATTTGCAATGGGCTCTCTTCGTCACAGCCTCATCTTTGTTTCCAAGAAAACTGTTGCTTTGCACAGTTGTGCAGGGCCTTTAAGCTATAAAGTTTTCTCACCTGCACTCTGCAGAGTTAATCTATCCCATTGCAGAAACATGGACATTTGGACATGATGATAAATAACACGATCATAAACAACGTGGAAGGTAATGCCTGATTCTTGAATTAAACTCCATGTTCTTCCTGCACAGACAGTATTTCATGCAATCTAGAACTTCAAGCATCAAAAGCTTCTCACCATGTTTACCCTCCTCTCCTCCCAAAGTTAAGAAGTTAAGAATAAATATTCACCCATTCTTCAAACTGTACATTTTTACCTTTTTCTTTAAGCAGACCATTGCATCTCTAGCAAGATTAACACAAACACCTGACAGCAAGCCTCACTGAGCCAGAAGAGCAGAAAACTGTAACACTCCTGCTGACTGTGCATGTGTATTTGTACCGAAACAACCCAGGGAAACACATGACTTTCTATAACAGTGCCACGCTGCTGTTTCAACTGCTCAATCATCTATTCTGATGTCCAGCATGCTCTATAGTTTGCCGGACTTGCAGCATTTGTGAGATAAGTGCTGGAAACCGTCTGAACAGGTCACCAGCCTGGATCCTATGTTTCCTGCAGAGTTGCATTTGCTGCTGTCATAGGCACATCATGCCATCCCCATCACAGGCTGATTACACTCCATTTTAAAGCCGTCTTGCTTTTTGCTTCCATGGTCCCTGCTCAGAGGCTCCCTCAGAGTACTCTTCCCCCATCAACGTTTAGAAGAAACCTTCCAGAGTACATGCCAAATTCATGCTAGGTTGTTCTTTTGATTAAATTATTTTTATTCTAAGAAACTTCATTTCCATAACATTGACAAGGAGTCTGCACTAGGGGAAGAAATCCTTACCCAGTTTCAGCTGTTACTGCGCAGGTTAAACCAAGCCATGGTCATCAGCCTATGACAGAATATCCATTCCCCTTAACAGTCCCAGACCTTCCTACACCTCAAGAATTCATCTTCCCTGAACAAAGATGATGAAAGATGTATACTATATTTCACCTGTATTTCATCTGAGGGATTACTAGGATTTTATTTAAGGTCACTAATATTTTCCACAATGGGTGCTTTGCATTACTATAAATGCATTTGCCAGGGTTGTACCATCTGTTGCTTCCATATGAAGATTGTCTAGTTTATCAGAGAGGCTAAACAAGAATTTATAAAATTGTCTCTTTCCATTTCATGCTGTCACCTCATTCTTATTGCTTTAGCACTCATCCACTGCTTTCTGCACAACATTTTGGTTCTCATAACAAAGCCTTTCTACTTCATCAACAGCAAACATGATAAATAAATTCCTACATTTTTTGCCTAGATCATTAATGAAAATATTTCCTACTTCCACCTGTTTCCATTAGTCATCCTGGCTTCACTCCTACAATCCAACACAAGCAGAACTAAAAACACAGGCAAAATATTTGCTCAGTTTGAAGTCATACCTAGATGAATCTTTAGTTTGTTCTTACTGCAAAACAATCTATTTCTGATTCTTGACTTTACAGCTAACAACAGGTTTTGCTGCTTTGATTTCTTTCATAAAGTCCAGCTCTGGTTTTTAGAAAACTCACTTTGTCTTCCCAATTCCTGACACTGAGAACAGCCATTCTCACTGGCCAGCTCGTGCCCAGCCATTTTTGGTGCTGGACTGATTCAGAGAGGTTTTGAAAAATGTCCTCCAGGCTCTCCTCAACACACAGCAACACAAAATGGTCAGTGAGAATTTTTTTTTGTTACAGAGGGCAATCCTCTGACATTGTCCCAGAAAGAAACAGGAGAGGAGCTGAGCTCCATTACACGCCATGGCCCCACGGCTTCTCAGACACAGCTTCTCTCCCTTCCATACTTTCCAATCCTCCTCCTTTCGCAAGCACTTCTGCATTCCTAACTAACCACAGTAGCCTTCTAAATGCCTAAATATCTAAAATCAAATAGTGAGGGTAACCAGAGCACTTATAAATATCACAAACCTCTCCAGGCAACTCTGAGCACAAAGCTAGCTATTTATTCTATTTTGCCTTTGGCAAAGTGAAGCAGAAAAGCGACAGTGTCAAAGTCCACAACTGCACTCTTTTGTCTTGCTTCACAGCCAGCTGGCTCCTTAACAGCCTTTAGTTTGCAAGTTTTGGCAAAAGCTTTTGGCATACAGGTTAATTAACTGTTCTTTGTTATACACCTCTCTACAGAATGGCCCAGAGACCCCTGATTAGCCAAACATGCTTTTCCTTAGCAGAGGCAGTGCTGAACGTCTAAATGTCTTGATCTTTTGTAAACTCTAGTTTAAGATGTTAGTGCAACAATTTTTCTGATCACAGCCAGCAACTCCCCAGAGCATTTAACCTTTCCAAAGTATAAGTAACATTATCTGCTACTATTCTGAAGGCTGGCATAGAAATACACACTGTATTTTTGATAGCTCAGACATTTCATTTTTAAATTCCTTCTAAAAAAACTTCATTAAAACACACAGAAAGTATTTCTGGCTCAGGGAGCCCCTGAGCTGCAAAGAGCTAGAGAGTGTTCAAAGGAAAGAAAAAAGGAAAGGAGAAAGGAGTTATCATGTACGTTTACCCTATTCTTACTCCTCCCTGTGCACCTGCCCATAGCTATTCACCACAGAAGGTAACTCCGATCCAGTGCAGCTGCTCTTCTGCTCTCTGCTCTTGTGCAAACGGAAGACCAATCCATTTAGCGTTCCAAGGGCTAAAAGGCATCAGGAAGATACCTAGAGGAAAGTGCAGGGAGCATGGTGAACGTGTGGTGATATTTCTGATACATTCCTCCAGAGTCCAGGAATTTGCTGTTTTGCGATATCCTGAGCCAGAGGTTGTAGCTACACCTTTGTGCAAAAAGGTACAACGTGAACTTGTCTGATTGCTTTTTGAATGATTCACACCTGCTATCTCTTCCAGCATTTCTATATAGGACTTCACAGTCACCAAAGGCACTTCACCATTGCTGCCAGATTAAAGAAAGGCGCTCTCTCCAGCGCTGTCCAAGCTGTAAGCGAACTGGTGCACAGAAGGATAAAAGACACAATACTGAGCACAGCTTGGACAGAAACTGACTTGTCAGACTGCTTCATAGATATTCCTAGACAAGGAGAGCACAATGGACCTAATCTGCCTGGATTTAAGGGAAGTATCTCATGCTACCCCTACAGGAGATTGGTGAAAGCAATCTGCAGACATTACTAGAAGAGCTGTCTCAATGGGAACCCTTAGCAGATTCTTACTTTTAATAGAAAACTCCTGAAACAAGAAATTAGGGATCCTCCTGGAAGACCAACTTTAGAAATTGTCCCACCTAATATAATTGTTAGCAACCTTCCCAAAAAAGCTTGTTTAGATCCATTCAGTTTGTAAGAAGCATCAAGCCAAAAGAACTGCAATTCCCAGTCATCACACTGGAATAGTGAGATGAACTGAGTGAGATGAACTTAAGAGTGCTATTATGTGAATAATAGCACATTGAGGGACTACTAAACAAAAACCAATAAAACACCCCTAAGGACTCATCAGCTGGAAGCAAAAGGTGCGTGAAAGACACAGGGATTTCTGCACTAACAGTGCAATGCAATCATGGAGAAAGCTCATGTGATTCCTGGTCTATCAGATACGGTATTTTACTTCAGAAGCAGGGAAGTATTGCGTTACTGAACAAGGCACCAATAAAACCACATTTACAACACTCTTATCAACTGTTTCAAGAAATATGAGACCAAACTGTGAAAAGCGAACAACTGAAGGGAGAAAAAAAAAAGTGCTATTAAGATGAATAAACAGAACAGAAAGCCTGCCCTTACAAAAGGAGGCTGAAACATTGGCTTGCTTAACCTGCCAAAAGGAAGGTTACAAGGAGAAAGGCATTGTTCTTAAATACGTTTGTGCAATGCCAGAGAAGGAGGATAAACTTAATTAAGGATAATAAAGTCACACAGGTCTAATTTGGTCTGAGTGAGTTCAGAAAGGAAGCTAGAGAAGGAGCAATTAAGCTCTGGGACAATCTTCCAAGCAGAGCAGTGGTGTAAGATATTTACATGATTTTAAGGCAGACCATATAAATTCATAGCAAACATCATATGGCAAGTTTGGAATGATTTTGGAGTTATATCACAGACCGATTTTCTGATATAAAACATATTCTGTGTACTAATATCCCAAAAAGAATAGTGAAGACACTGGATCACCATGTGTTGTACACGTTTACGTTGCGTTTTAAGAATCCTAGGCTTTCTGCCGGTCATTGTGACAGTCAAGAATAATTTCTTCTCTTGCTTGCAATTCATAACTTGCATTTGGATTTTTTCATCTCCCCTTCAGTTAAAGCACTACCACTAGTCACAGCTGGAGATGGAAAGTTAGGTAGGGTTTACTGACACTCCTTGGGATACTCAAACCCCTCAAGGTCCCTGGTCAGCAGCTAGTTCTCACACTCCAGGTGCCATAACCTCTAGCGAGTCAGATGAGAGAACAGGACCACTGGATGGTTTTATGTTCTTCTAGTATTTGTCATGGTCCTGACTGATCTGGCATTTTCACCTAACAATATCCTTGTTTCCCCCAATTTCTTCCTTTGGAAGACTGCAGTTTGGAGGCATGAAATCTGTTGTACCAAAGGGCTCAACTTTGTGTTAGTATTTCGGAGTGCATCTAGCAAAGGACTAGAAAGGGATGAAAAAGGAGAAATATGGAGGAAATCCCAGAAAACTGCAAAACCCCAAGTTCTGTCACTAGTTCCCCTGCAATTGTGGGGACTCATTTCCAAGATACAGAGGGTCACAGTCTGTCTGTCGCTCCCCAGGCACTAACAGCCACAGAGGATGAGCCTGGCAAGTGCACAATTGCACAACAATACTGGACAGTCCTGCGTCAGGCAAGTATTCAGAAAAACAAAGTTTGGAGAAAATGGCTCCTTCCTCCACAATACCAGCCACACTGCTGAGACAGCAGACCCTGCACTTTCCTCTCAACAGTTGAGAACAGAGTCCTATCCGAGCCTCCAGCCCCCAACGCAGCACAGTCACCTTTCGTGATGTTGACCTCACGGATGCTGTAGCCCTCGCGCAGCCGGACTGAGACAACGCTCACGAGGTCAGCATGCACCTCCTTCTCAGTGTGCTTCTTCCTCCTCATCGCCAGAGCAGGGTTGCTGCTTGCAGACACCAGGTGCTCATTGAACAGTCTGTGCTGGGACACTACAAACGGCAGAGATAGGGTTTGTGAGGGAGCAACTCCCCTGCTCCTCATCCTACAGCAACAGCTCTCCCAAAGTGCTTTACAGAAGCTGCCAGGAACACTCGCTGGCCTGAAGAACAGTACATCCTTCAGGCACCACTTACACCCACTCCTGACTCTGCAACACAGCAAGCAGGTCCATTAGCATGGCCAAGAGGCCTGGGAGAGGGGCAGGGTGGGGTGCCAGGCCCTGCTTCCTCTGGGACAGCCTTTGTGACAAGGCATGCATTAGAGTTACACATTTCGCCTAGACAGACAGAAACTGCACAGCTGTTGCAACAGTCGCACAGCAAGCTTTTGGGCTTTACCCCTTTCCCTGGAAAACCTTGAATTCCCAGGTGCTTTCTAAAAGGTATCAGGATGTGGAAGCCTTGAGTTTAAACCACTAACACCTGATCTTTCTACGATCCAACATTTCCAAGTCCCAGTCCAGCTCTCTTCAAACTTGTCACTGTATGCGGCTTCTGCTGCCAAGTTACAGAAAGAGCAGATGGCACCAGCATTATCACCAGGGCATGAAAGGGAATTTCCATGTTTTACTGGTAACTAATCTCTCCTAGCATACTCTCAGTCACCAACATTCACAAATTAAGAACAACCAAGAGAGGCATTCGGGACAGTTCTCAGGGGTCTAGTTTTTCAATCCAAACTGCCATCTGCAAGCCCGATTAGGACAAGCTCTCCAGAATGTCCCAATCTGCAAGCCAGCCAGTGTGCAGGAAAGGTCGGACGAGGGCTTCTCACCCCTTCCAAGTTCCAACACAGCAGGCCTTACTGCAGTTTGCTGAGTGAAGTCCACAGAAAGGGGAATGGTGCAAAATGGGACATTAGTTTTCCCCGATCCACCCAATTCCTGGAACCAGGGAGTCACAGATGAGGCTGCATGGTTCAATAGTGCCCAGAGCCTACAGGAGGCATGGCCCGGAGGGGACAAGGGAGAGTATCAGCATAACGAAGCCTGGGGGAGTCACCCCAAAGAGGTGTGCTGTAAGACATCCATCTGCTGGAAGGAGGACATGCACATTCCTCACCGCAGTAGTATTCTGGATTCAGGGACTCCCCAGTACGCAGAAAGGAGTATAGCAGAAATGCTTTGTGATACACATTCAGATCCAGGCTCAGGGGATCCAGCTCAGGGCATGTGGAGAGGTAAGCACCAAAAGTGGCCATGGCGATGAATTTCATCAATTCCACATTGGGAACGTGGCCAAAGCTGCAATCGTACGAGTAGACACCGCCCACCTACGGGATGGATAAAGAAGATACCCGAGAGAGTACAGCAGTGCTGAGGAGAAGGCAGAGGACCGGTAAAGGCCTCAGACAGGCAGAGAAGTCCTCTCTTCCCCTCTGGAGGTGAACGCCACCGACAGCAACCCACCTTCCTCCCTCTGGCAGGCAGCAGCCCCCACACTCCCTGCTAGCAGCAGACATACCTGTACAAAGGAGCAGGCCACTGTGCCGCTGCGGAGCTGGTTGAGTAAAGTCTCGCACACAGCCACATCAGGGACGCTAGTCACACCATCCGTAATTATTATTATACCTGTCAACAAGGCAGTATCTTAGTGCATCTTCCATCTCAACCAGCTACCGCTCTCCCAGTATATCCACCAGAGATAAAATTTAGGCAGGGCAAAAGTAGAAAGGAAAATCCTGAGGTTGGTTCAGAGCTTCCAAGGAGTTCTGGAGCTGGCAAACTTCCCGACAAGGTACAGCAAAGCACTCGGGCAGGGCACAGTTCTGCACATCCTGGGTTGTCCCGAGCAACAGTCACAGCTGCGGTTCCTCACAAACTCCCTAACGTTGACACATGGCACGTGGCGCAGTGTTGTTCTCCCCATTCCCACCACCACAATTTGCCCACAGAGTGCAGAGCAAAAGCTGCTGTTGAAATTTCATCCCTAACAGAAGGGTCCATGCACCAGCCCTTACAAAATTAATAGCCTAAGGCAGGAGGAATACAACCCTTCGCAAACAACTGGGCAAACCTTAACCCACAGGACGAAGCCAACCTGCGCTGGAGTTGGAAGGCAGCAGCTGCAGTGCTAGAATCCCCTGCCGGACCATGCTGACGAGACCAACATCGGCAGTGACAACAGACACGCTGGGCTTCCTCCCAGATGGCTCCTGCACGTCACCAGGGCTCTCTTGGCTCAGGGGCGATAAATCCACCTGGAAAAGTAAATAAAACCCACAAGGCCCCATGAGGCAGACTTCAGCCTAGCTCTAGTTCTCACTCTCCCAAACAGACTTCAGTCTAGGAGCCCCATGGTACCACAGCCCTGGAGCACTTCAGCAGACTCCACTTCTAGCTTTAATTTCCAGGTGTTCTCAAAGTCCTGGTCACTCGGGCCCCTTAGGACAGCTAGGCAAGGCTGCTCAAGGGTGGAGGAAGGGGACAATATGCTCAGAGCTTCATTATAAGCTGATTTCTCACAGAAGGGGAAAGATGAGACACTTTGGGGTCACTAAAGCTCCTCTGCAGAGCAAAGCAGTTCCCGATTAAAGAGATGGTGAATACCTCTTTTTTCCTTATCATTTAGTAGACACTGCAGCTATTCAGCATCTACTCAAGCAAAGCCCAGAAACGCTGGAGAGGCAGAGACAGAGCTATGTCTCACTTATGAAGCACTGCAGCAGAGGGGGTAAGGAGCCTCGTAAGGACAAAGTCTAGTGCCTATACATTTAACTCTGTTCAAACAGCACTCGTTATGCAGTGCTGATATAAGCAAATGCAGGTAGGCTTCTCCTGCATCTTCTATGAAAAATATCCCCCAGGCAAAGCCTGAAATTTGTATAATTACACTGGTGAGGAACCTACTGCGTTCATAGTCCCCTCATCTCCAGAAGGCTCTGGCAGTTCAACCCTGTAATAAACTATTGCTTCACTTTTACTGCTAATACAGAGAATGGGCAAGACCCTCCCCTGCAAAGCTACAGATGATTGGAGCTGGGAAAAGAAAACTAGAACTAACTAAACTTGTGTTCTGCACAAATGGGAGCAGCCTGCGGCTGTGAGCAAAAAACCTGACTATCCATCACTTTAATTTGCCAGATGCCTTAAATTCAGACACTTGTTGACAGTGACACAGCTAATGCAACTTCAAAAGTAAAAAAAGTTTCAATCCCTGCCCTTCCCCTGGGGCCTCCCACCTCCACCCCACAGCCTGTGGCAGGACTCGCCAGTCCCTCTGGCCTACAAGTGCGTCTCTTTCCCCCATTTGCATGGAAGAAGTTACAGGGTAGTTTACTGTGAGAGAAATACTGCAGCAAGCAGGCATGCATAAAAAGCACTGCACAAACACCG